TTAAAAAACACCACACCCACCCTTCTCCTGCTGGGACCCACAACTTTGAACCAGGACAAATAGAAAAGGTCAGGAAAATGAGAGGTAGTAGCCAAGGGGACATTTCTGCAGAATAAGTAATGGAAACATTGGTTCAAAAGCAAGAAACATGCAATATTTATATGTTAGTAGACTTCACAAGTATTGAGCCACCATATATCTATCTATAGCTATCTATCTATCTAGATAATATATATGCATGTCCACAAAACTATTAATTGGATAAAATTACATATTTTAAATGACTTCTATTTATGAATATATAGTATTTTTACTAGATGACCATATTTAGAGGCATTGGGACTTGGCTAAGGATTGGGAAAAAATGTAGGGAAGAGCATGTTTGGGCCAATTTCCTCCCATTTTAGTTCTCAAAAAGAATCCTCATGAATGTGTCTGCATTTCATCTACTTTTGCTCTAGGGCCTGTTTCCAGCCACAATCCACTGGAGACTGGTGAATCAAGACAGCAGAGTCAGATACAGAGTACCTGGCCAGCAGGGGTGGGCCTGGCCCCTGCCCCAGAGGCTGAGCCCCTTTCCCATGGGCCTTCCCACCTCAGACAGGCAACAGGGCAGCTGGAGCTGGAGGCCTTGGGGTTCCCCAGCCTGAAGGCCCCACTGTGGCCCTAGGGAACACCACAGGCAGTCAGGGTGCTGTTCTGGCTCTGTCAAAGGTCTTCTGCAGTGGCGCTCCCCAGTTCCCAGGCCACCCTGAAGACCCACTAAGTGGACTAAGCCCCAGGCTCCCTGTTTCCCCTCTTAAGTCTGAAGCTGGGACACTTGCTGGTGAGGTCATACCCTGGGGTGTTTCTGGCCTTTAGCAAGGGATTAGACCTTCAGGCAAATGAGCACCAGTCCCCAGTCCCTACCCCCATCCTCCCTTCTCTTATTAAAACATGGTGCTTGGGCTGGGGTTGTGGCTCAGTGGTAGAGCACTGTCTAGCATGTTTGAGGCTGAGTTTGATTCTCGGCACCACATATAAATAAATAAAGTCCTCTGACAACTAAGAATATATTAATAAAACATGGTGCTTCTGGACTTGTGATCCTTTTTAGGCCCCATGATGGGCCTCCTACATTTCATGGAGTTAGCATTGGCGCTGTTCCTGAGACAGGAACACCTGTGACAGAGTCTGCCAAGAACA